CAAGCGCCTTATATCACCCCCTCCGTCAGATGTAGACCCAGCAATATCCGAGGGCAAAAAGCCAAACTCTGCAAGAACATCTATGACCCATGAATGAAGGACCTCTGATAACCGGAAGCTCTTGTATTTCGCCGAGCCTGGACAAAAGCGCTTTATGGCGAGAATGGATATATCCATACGCCATTGAGCATCCACGAAGATGATTCGAATCCCGACATATTTGTCTTTAGAGGTCTTCGAGGTCCAGAGATCCACGTTCAGATGAAATATTGGTAAAGGGCAGCTAGCTTTGATCTTCCTTAGATCGGTTCTGAAGCCCTCTTTCGTAGCGTGATATACTTTAAAAATCAAATGGTGAAGTCTCTTGCGCGTGGGTAGATGTTTGCCAATAGGTGACCCACTGCATTTAACAAAATGCTGAACCTTGTCGTTCTCGCAGAAACCCAAAGGTAGCAGCTTCGGTATAACCAGATGAGTCCATAGCATTTCGTAGAAGCGTTTCGGGTCATTCTTAAAAAGAGCGGAGGCCTTCGTAGCATTGACCACCTCTACCTTACGTCGCTTGTTTCCCTCCGTCGTTTCCGTCTTGATTGAAGAACGTCCGTGTGTCGCTTCTAAGTGCTTCATAGCATTGGTTGATGAACTACCATTGACCGAAAGGCATTGCTTTACATGTCGGAATTGCTCGCTTGCCAGGCAATACAACTTGCCAGCGTTCGCATCAGATTCTCACTCCAAGGTCCCAAGATAAGCTCCTATCAGGAGTCCTCTTCGGTACGGTTGCCATCCTATGGTCCTTCTCTAAATCTTGTGGAATCTGAAATCGTTTGATCGCTTGCTCTATCACAGCGATAGCGTTTTTTCTATCACCAGCGACCGATCCCTCGTCGACTGTCGTCCCTCCACGTCTCCAGCAAATGCTCTTTTGCTACCTGTCTGCTGGTGGTGGCCTTTCCGCTTACTTTGATATGAGGTGGTGTCAGCTTCTGCGTTGTGCTTCCTTCATGTCGCTTTAATAGTGGCCGCGAACTGGCGGTCTTCGTCGTTGTTATCCCCCGGGTTTGTGCAAATTTTTTGTCCGTCCGTCAAGGGTCGAGATTCTGCGAGCAATATCCGAAAATCAATTTTTTAGCCGGGATCGCGGTAGACGCATTTTCGAGAGCCTAATCGACCCTCTTTTTATGTAATGGCTTCGCACGGGCGCAAATCGCCCCTTTATGCCCATTCAACTCCTATCGATAACGTATTGATTATGGTATTGAGCGCGATTTGAGACCTTTGCGCCGCACGAGTCAGCTCGAATGTAAGAGGTGAGCGTGCTATGAGCGCGCCAGGGCCAATGGAATTCAGCCAATGTATGCAAGAGCAGTACAATCTCTTTGCTGTTGCAGAGTGGCGTTTGCGGATTTTATATCTATGGCAGTCCCAATATATTTGCCCGGTGTGTCCTTCTCTCTGAGCTGAGGGATGTCGAGCGTCAGCGCCGAACCGCTCGCAAGAAATAGCAAGCGAATCCAACCTGCCCAGATAGCGCAGAATGAATTCTTGGAAATTACCGAGTTCATATTTATCTCGTTGAAAAAAATGGTAGTACGGAAAGCTAATCCCACGAGGACAACCCAATGAGAGAGGTACGACTCGCGTATTGGGCTGTTTGCTGTCACCATCAGCGTCTGGGATTGGCTGAAATATCCATAGCCATGAATAGGCTGGAAATTGGAAACGTCAAGTGGCAAGAACTTCTCTCATATCGGGGCTTTCGTGATTCATGCAGTCGGTCGAGCACGTTCGGCGCGCAACTGAAGATAAACTGCTTTGGTACGGGACATGAAAGTGACCGAAAGAATAAGCAGCGAGACTGCTTAAGCCCTTGAGTATGACTAGGAAAGCAGAAGCAACAGTAAGTCTCGGTCTCCAGAATGTACGTCTGGTGATAAGAAATCAGCTGCTGTTGCTAGACTTTATCGCTGAGGGGCAGATTATATCTGCTATTAGCTGCGGTTCGAAAAGCTGTCTTCTTTGCCATCGATATAAGTCATGGGTGATGGCAGGATGAAGAATAGTGGAATTAGACGCAAAGCCCCATCTAAAGATACGAAAAAGGTCACCATGAAAAGCTTTCTGGTAAGCATTTAGCGTGCCCCTGAGGTAGATACAGGCCGTATTGATAAAGAAAGTGATCAAGTGTAAGACACATCGAGCGAGTTTGTGAATGTTAAGGACTTTCACGAAGAAGGTGATGTCGATGAAATTCGTCACGTGAAAATTAGAAAGCTTCGAAGTAGAAAATTGTGGCTTCTGGCGTTGATGAGCGAGAAGACGGCTAGGCAAAGTCTGGTGGATGGCGGAAGTTTGCAAATATGTACGATCGTCGAAGAATCTCTGGACGATGTACTGCGAAAATAATTATTGAGAAGACACGGCAAAAGATCGGACGAGCAGTCATGAAACGCTGTAGGGGAAAGTCCCGTGTAGAAATTTGTCAACGATTATGCTGATATTTTCCTAGGCAAGGTGCTGGACGTACTGTTATCTGACAGAAGTATTCACCATCAGACTGACAAACTTCCTGGTATGAGGTATTGTATGGCCGTTGCCAAAAAACAAGTCATTGCAATTGACGATCTTTTCGCGCAGCAACAGAAGGCTGGGTATGTGTGTGAGAGCAAGCCCCCGCACTGTAACCCAACCTTTGTGTAGAAATTACAACTAATGGTTGGCGCAGAGTTCATTTTTCTATCAAATTGAGCGATGCGACCATACCTGCTTAGACTTCAGTTACCACGCAGTGATATTAATATTGATGCAGTGGTTGACAATTGTGTGTCTGGTGCGATTGATTGAAAGATTGATGCTATCAGACATGAACGCGCAAAAATAATACGCCACTGATTGCAGTCAGTTCCACGAGTGGTATGCTGTAGGAATGGTTAGCGATACCGCAGGGTTTGAAAATACTACCGCGACATTCAACAAAATGATCTCAAGTCTTTTTCGTTAGTTGAAAGAGTTTGCACCCGATTACTTAAAAGATATATTCGTGCATAGTAAGACAACGCGTGAGAAGTCTGATGTCGATGTTCATATTAAGCGGTTTTGCCAAGTATTCCTAGTCATGCGAGAGAATGAACCTAACGGTAACCTAAAAGATGCAATTTCATCGCTCCTTAGCTCCTTAGCTCCTAATGCTCTGTTGCTTTCTCAGCAAAATGGACCTCGTGTAAAAATATAGAAAGTCAATTCTGTCAATGATTGGCGAGTGCCAAACGTATAAAATTAAAGATATTTTAGATATAAATTATAATGTGAAAAAGGTGAGATTATAACGGGGCTTGACTTACTCTTTTCACATATACGCGCGCAAATATGCAGCGTTGGTACAACCCCTTACGGCTCTGATGAAGAAAACGCTGAATGAGAATAGTCTAACAATCACCAGGCGGTATATGCCGAAGTGGATCAGAGCTTGGAAGCAGCTTCTTTCCTTGCAATTGCAAACCACGATAAGCCTTTTCTTGCGGTCTGCGATGCAAATGTTTATGCCACCGCTTGTGCGTTGATGCAAAACGATGATGACGGTTGTGAGCGAGTTGTTTCGTATCAGTTGCGACAATCACGGCCTGCGGAACGGAGTTAATCAGTGCATGACGTAGAGCTTCTAGCGATGAAGTATACTTTAGTCAAGTTCCGTGTGTACTTGCTTGAAATTTAGCACTTGGTGATCTATTCAGATCATACCTGGCTGCAACGGCAGTAAGACCTATTTATTTATCGCAGAGAATGAATCGGTGGTTCTCCATCTTTGCGAATAACATCTTTGTTGTACACTACAAAACAGGCAAAATGAATTTTCTAGCAGATACGTTGTCAAGACATTCGGACTATGATCCAAAGTCCAAGATCAAAGACATGCACGAGTCATGGCGACAATGCGAAGAATTTCAAACGATTAGCGTACAAGCTATCACTACAGAGCACAAAAATGATTGCTGAAGGATACGTATCTGATGGGACATTTTAGGACTCATTGTGGTACTTCAAGATCTCTTCCGACAAAGTACCGCGTATTCTTCGATCTAGCATAAGATCGCGAGCTCATCATTTTAGGGTACACAATGAATTGTTGTATTATGGGATTGAGCACAAGGATACAGCAATGGGTATTGTTCTATTTTACAAAGGTTTGCATCATCGTCATGTCTCCTTCGGGTGGCCATCCTAGACGTGAGAAAACGTTCCTCAAGCTCTCCCGGGTTACTTATTGGTCCCACATATATAAGCTGACTTGGGATATTTGCCAGATAGTGAAGCCATGAGGTTCCATTCAGCCACAGTCGGTCGTTGACAGTGTCAGCGAAATAAGCTATGAGCTTGAAATCATCCTTAAACTTACGCGTGACAATGTCATCCTTGTGTAAATGAACGATGCGCCTATTTCGGACGAGATTTCTTTAAAGAAAATAATAAAGAGTATTGTAGACTTCGTTTTTCGTCTGCATGATCTTCCTATAATAATTATATCTGACCGTAACACCCGTTTCACGTCAAAGTTGTCGCGTGCACGTTTGGATTATCGGGCATCAGTAGTTCATGTCAATCGCAGTTCACCCTGCAAATAGATGATTGCATATAATCTATGAGTTGAGTCCTGATGTCGTATTGCGTAGCTACACTACGTCATTAAATGAGTGGTGTGGATTTCTCCTTCCCACAGAATCTGAGTTGATTAACTCCATGCATGTCTCGACAGGCCGCTCGCTATTTTAAACGAACATCAGTTTTCGAGCTAGAGGTCCTACTTTTATAATGGACGGTCTCAACCCTAAATGAAGGAAACTATGGCTACGGAGCCACAGTATAACCTCAATGTTGTCACAGAATTAAAAGCGAATTCTGATTCAACAAAACCTCTATACAGCCTGACTAGTCGTATGACTTTATTTTAAAACGACAAAAAGTTGTAAGATTTGTCCGATATGCAATTGCAAAAGCTCAGATTCGTCAAATTTAATAATCAGGCAAGAGCATTTAAGTATACAAAGGCAATGATCTTAAAATACTCAGCACCACAAATCTGCGTTAACATGCAGTGTTCAATTTGGGAAGCAAAAGCTTTTACCAATATTTATTGGACCGTCAAAGGTGTTCAGCGGTAATGCTTAATCTCTAGCCGTCCCAACACTACATCCTACGATATACGCGGGTTGGCTAGCACCGTATAACCCGAGTGTCTCTGTTCACACCACTATAACTCTGACTGATGATCAAGCCGGTGTTTCTTCACTTGTTTACAAAAAGCATCCAATATTTCACCCTGTAGATTATTTTATGCGTATGAGCGTCGAAAGATATCAAAAGATTGCTTCTTCTTGGAAAGGAAAATGATCTTCACCACGGGATACCTCAAGAACAAAGCCTCATTTTTCAACAGAGCGCAACAGGTGTTCGTGCAAACCTCACGAGACTTCACGTTTGTCTGGAGTCGAACAAGCTCATCATGGACCTGTTGAAACCGTCATTTGAAACGTGACTTCAAAGCTGAGCATTACGTGGGGTCAACCTTCAGTGCGTCGAAATTCAAGTTCTGCTCTGCAACATAGTCTGCAAGGCTCTCGCGCGATTTACGTCTGCATTTGAATTTGAGCCCACGAATCAGCAACGATAGATCTATACCATATATCGGCGGATAACACGGATGTGGTGGTCTTTGTGGGTTAATTTGAGTAAGATGGCTCATCTTGCGGTAGTGCCGGACACCGTCGACGGTTGGGTACATCGACTCTGTTTGCCGATCGGGTCTTTCGACAGCATGGACTCCCGGAGTAAATTGTCGCTGGCTGAGACCCACGCTTCACCAGGAAAGTTTGGTCTACAATTTTCAGGGTGCTAGACACCTAGTAGACTATGTCAACAGCGGACCTTCCGCCGACCGATGGTCAAATTAGCGCGTAAATTGCGTCGTTGAATACTTTATTCGCAGCGTCTACGCCGAAATGTCGAGAAGCTGGGGCGCCATGCTGCCAGTCGTAGAGTCTGCTTTGAGCAATGCTGCACATTCATCTACCGGCTACACGCTATTCTACTTGAACGGGCTCGTTAATCCTCACATCTCGCTGACGCCGCCATTTCATAGATCAAAGCTTGATGAGGAGGGATAGCCGAACGGCTACCTGATATCAGCACTCTCACTGTCCGTAAAAAGTCGATTTTTTTCTGTCTTCTAAAGTAGGTGGCTTACGACACGATTGTGATGCGATGACTGAAAGCTAAGACATGCAGAAAGAATATGCAGCTGGAAGAAGCAGATGAAATTCTGAGAATTTAAGGTCCATGACCTGGTTTTATTAAATACCTAAAACGTTCCTACACATGCAGTCTCTGCTGTCGTTAAGAATTGGCTCCATCCACAGCTTATTAGACTTTTAAGCTCGTGGCCAAGCGAGGCCTTGCTATACGCTGAACCTTTCCAGAAAGAAGCGCACTCACTCGGCATTTTATTTGGGTTTGAATTAGCCGTACCGGAATCCGGCGCATATGAACGCGGAAGCGTTGGCGCCAGATCGACGCCCAAAGACGCCCGGTTGCCCAGAAGCTGAACCAGCAACTGGCTCTGAGCATGGAGTGCAACAGTTTCCGTATCCAACGGCGCAAGGCGCTCCACCGTTGCACGAAGTTACGTGTTCGTCTCAAAGACGCATTTTGTGCAAATCACAAACTAAGGGTGGTGTGAGAGTACATTTCTCGTTCGGCACTTTCAATGATATCTCTTGATGATACCTGTGTTGAGTGGCTGCGAGAAGTTGTCGTGTTGGGTACACCGGACGCTGACAAGCTCGATAATATCGTTGGACAACGCATTAACATCACCTTCCGGCTGTGTTTCGTAAAATTGAAACGGTGGGGCCATTTCAAGAAGACAACGCCCATCATCCATGACGTCATCTTCGCGTAGAACTGGATGCTAAGGCGCTCTCTGTGTATTCCGCAAAAACTGCGATGTGTTTTCTCTGCGGAAGGTGACGACGGGGTCCATCGTCTCGGTACCTTCCAAGTTGCAGAACCAACCGACGTTAAAACGCACCGTATCCTTCTTAATCCCACGGATCTTGCAAGTTGCGAGAGCCTGACTGGGCGGTATGCAAAAGGAGAGGCTGATCACAACAAAATAACATCATGCGCTTCATAGAGCCTTTAATTCGCGGCGCTTGATGTCAACCGTGGCAAGATTCACTGGATCCAGTGTCTCACGGGCCAACCAGTTGAGTGGATCCCCGCGCACAATTGCGGCAACTTTGGCAGTGGAGTACTGCTGCGTCGTCGTCACGCTCCTGCACCGTCGTTGACACCAGCATTTAGAGTGGCAAATGGATCATTGTTGTTGTCACCGTCGTCTACAAAGTCTTTTGATTGCTCGTGAGCTGCGCGTCTGAAGTCGACTAGCTCGCGGTTTCCCAAACTCGCGCGGAGACCTGACTAAAACAAGTCATGCTCAGACTCGAGTGGCAGGCGCACTGTCTGCGTCGTTTAGACTCTTTCGTCTGCGTTCATCTGCGGTAGCGCTTACTTGTATCAATAAATTGGCGTGAATTTTCATTGCTGCATTTGTACTTGAAATATCGAGACCTAAGAGAAATTCTGAGCTTTAGACTTTCGTGACGATTAATTAACAAAAGCCTCGTAGGTTACTCTCAGCGCAGTATCATACTGTCGTCATTGAATTGCAGGAACGACTCATTTTGATTGCCTGGTACCATGCCGTACAGTATCAAAACTTCATGATGACCAGGATCACGCACTGTTCTGAAAGTTTTCTTTTTTTCGAACATCTAAGATTTGAAATTTACTTGTAACCATATAAAATTATACTTCATCTGTATTACTGATAATGTG